GATTAATATTACGATAGTACAAAACTCGAAAGGATGACCAGTCAAGGCAACACTATAAATGCGCTGTAAAAGATGCTACTGATATTGAACAAGTAAACAGTAAGCAACAGCAACATGCAATGTGCAAACAGTGCACCTACACATACCATCCTCAACCTCCCCATCCTGCTGAAATGCTCTCTTACGTTTTCTTGGTAACGGCGTGATAGGAGTTTGCTCAGTACTCTCAATACCTTGTAAGACCTCCACATCTTTGTTAGATTCAACCCCAATGGGTCCTTCCTGCATCTTTTCGGGGAATAACAAATTAGATTTCGGCCCCGTCTCAGGAGTTACAATTCTATTCAGCTGAAGACTTGTATGGAGTACTGTGCTCTTAACAGGGATCTGCCCATGGTGGATATAGCTGCATTCTTGCGCACCCACACCACCAAATCGCGCCACTATACCATTGGTTGAGCTGTCGAAGGGGCTTGAGGAAGCAAAGGTATTTTCAGCAAAGATGCATGCCTTTGAGACTGTTGCATGGGGAATTATGGACGAAACAACTCTTGATGCTTCTCCGTCCATCTCTCTCCTTACAGCTCCCCTAGTACATTTCGCTGCCTTCTCCTCCTCCTCGAAGTCAGTGTGCAGAGAGAGAGTACTGTCCACTAGGGACGTGGACTGCTCTCCTACCCTCACTTCAGAAGCCGACTTTACTGTTCTTAGATGAGGTGCCGCTGCCGACTCAGGATGCAATAATTCAAGCGACGGCGTAAAGATAGAGGTAAGAGACTGTGCGCTCAACGAGGTCTCGCTTTTCGTACGTTTCAGATGAATAATGCTCTCAGAGCGTTCAGTGGAGGGAAGGTGGTCAGAGATTTGTTGGGTGAAAGGTGACCGAGAGTCTGAGATTGGAGAGTTGAGTTCTACGAGAAAAGACGGATGTGCGCATGCAACAAAGGGGGACATGCAACATGCAAATGGCGTGGTAGACATTCACAGACAGTTAACTTCAGATATCTACCCTTTTATTTAGTGAGAAAACGGCTAAAGCGGCAAACAAGAAAAATGTGATCCCGTTTAAGCTTAATAAAAGTGAAAAGAATACTAGTTGTAGACAGTGAAGATGCACATGCATGGGGCACCGAGGTGGTGGTTAAAATGAGCACAGAATCCTACATGTGAAAAAAAAAACAAATGATGTGTGATACTTTCCATGGCTCAAACTTAACGTGCAGAAAGCATCCTTTGCATGGAACCTGATTGATCCGAATAAATTTGCCAATTTCGTTTTAAGACAATGTGGGTGGTTTCATTTACAGGTCATCCTAACTTCATTAAAGCCGAGTCCCAATGGCAAGAGTAACACAGAAGAGTCTATATTAGTGGAATATAAGCAGGTCTCGAGGGGACAGTAGCAATGTAAAGATTAAGACATCGGCAAATTTGCATTGCAAAAAAGAAGTTGCATCAACAGTACCCTTTTCACTGAGTGAAATGCGGCCAGGTGCAGAAACAGCAGAGGAAGGGCGCCAATGATGTCGAGAGAGTAACGGGTAAGTATCCTTCTCTACTCGCTCTGTACTAGGTTCGACATCTGATCCCGTGCCCGTTACCAGAACGGTGAAACTTCTGGGTTCTATGACACCTTCTGCGGCATCATTTACCGTTTGACTTTGAGACTCCTCGTTAGGCAGATTAAGTTTGAAGACATACTCTTCCTCCTTCTGTATTGGTTTTATCCTTCTATGAAAGTAGGGAGCACCAGACTCCTTGTTGCTGAAATAATTGCGAGTACCGATACGACCGAGAAGTTCCGAGTCTCTAGGTTGGTCAGTTGTAAGCATCAAACGCGCCCAATCACGATTATCTTCGGGACTGCGAGGAAAAAGGCCAGGATCGGAGTGAGAAACCATAGACATATTTAGCGGTCCTTGGAGGGAGAGATTCACCTAAAAAAATGACAGAATATTTTTTCGCAACTTTATTATCTTACGATGACGCCTTACCCGAATATCGGCTTTAGCATCCTCTGGTTGAAAAGTTTCGCATCTAGTGACACCAATCATCCGATCACCCGAGAGCATAAATGAAGACCGATATTGACGCTTAATACGACTGCCAAGGAAGGATACGGAAATGTTAGAGTGATGCCGGTAGGTGCAACTATCAGTGATGTGGTCAGTAGTGTTCTGGCCCCAGATATCGAAATTTCCAGGTATGATTAAAAGCGTACTAGACGCACTACATGGGCGGCTACCAAGTGCAAGATTATCAGACGAATCGGAAAGCGAGTTGAGAGAAGCAGGCCGGTGAACAGCCAACGAAGGCAGACTTGATGGAATGGTGCTCGCGGTAGTCATAAGATCTAATGTAGAAAAGAAACAACGATCATGAGGAAAGTTGCATCAATAGAAACACTAAAGAGCTAAAAACATGCCCAGTAACAGTGAATTATGGCCTATCATGGAGAGAATTTAACTTCATCAACCAATTAGCACAAACAATCCTAAAAGAAAACATGTCTCAAAGGAAATTATCAAAATGAGCAATCAGAACCATTAGCGCTACTGCCGATAATCAACAAAAAAAAGTTAAATTGTGTGAAAAAGTGTGTGCTCGAAGCTAAATAAATAAAATGT